CCCCAGCCAGCCAGACTGCCACGCAGACACATGAACTGCACAGAAAGGACACTGGGAATTCCCCAGACCATGGGGAGCGGGGACCACAGGACTTCTACTCCCGCGACACTGCCACTGCACCGATTTCCCTGCTCAGCCTGACTCTGGCCCACTCCCCGACACACACACTTTGGTCTTGCCCACTGAGGCTGGGGGGGCAGGTGGCAGGTGGAAGCAGGGGAGAGGGGAAGGGTGCGGGCCCAGCTCCGTCCCTTCTCTGTGAGCAGGGAGGCAGGAGAGTCCAGGACAGAGCCTGGGCCTGGCAGTGGGGTGAGGCTGGGGCCAGGGCTCAGGCTTGGGGGGGCTCCTGGCAGCGCAGGCACTGGGCCATCTCGGGCTGGTATTGCTCAACCTGCAGGGTGCAGCTGGAGAATCCAAACCGGGAGTGGAGCCGGGATGTAGCTTCAGCCAGGACAGCTTCGGGGTCAGCCGCGGAATCTGCGGGGTAGTGATAAGAAGCAGCGAGCTCCCAAGGGAGTGGGGAGCCAGACCGGGGTCCAGATAAGGATGGGTGAAGGGGGACCCAGGGGTTTTGCATGGCATGAAAGCCAGGATTGAATGGGAGCTTTATTTTCTCTCTCTGTTGTATAAACAGTGTACAACTGTTCAAAGAAAAGGTTGGGGAGACTCATCCCTAACTCACCAGGCTAACAGGCTAAACTGTCCTTATTTTGCTATTCGCTTCTTCTCTTTGGGTGTCAGTGTACAGCTGTGTATTTCAGCAGCCACACCACCCGATTTTCCACAACGATCCAGATGTCAAATATTCTGTTCCCATTGTTCCTCTAGAGTTACCATCAAATATCCTACAGAGTATAATATTTTTGGCATCCAAATTGCAAGTCTCTGATTGCTTCTTGCATCTGGAAGAAACTCAAAAATCCTTTGTCAGCTTGTGAGTCACCCTATATATTTTAAATAGTTGAATCATAATGTGGCTATAATTTTATATTCAGCTTTCTCTCTTAGCATTATACCATAAACATTTTTCCTAGTTGCCATACAGTGTTCATAATCATCATTTTTAAAAGTTACGTGGACCGAAGGAGCCACAATTTACCTTGCTATGCCCCATCACTTAGAACTGTGGGTACCAGTGATCTTTTAAAGGGTTGCTGGTGCCCTATACTACTTTAAAGAGGGTGAAACCTCCCCCAGAACACTCTGTCTAGGGCTCCAACATGCATGAGAGAGAGAGATACAAAAGACAGAGCTAGAGGTCGAGAAAACCAGAGAGATGGGAAGAGTCCCAGTAATTCAGACCAGCTTCCTATGTTTGGAGGGTGGGAGGGGAAAGGAGAAATGTTTCTGGGAAGTAACTGGCTGGGGCTAGTGTGGACTCACCAATGGCCAGGTGTGCGGAGGCAACGTAGTGCGTGAACGTCAGGGACCACAGGTGCAGCTCATGGGTTGCCTGGACTCCCGGCACCGACAACAAGGTGTCCCGCACAGGTTCAAAGCCCACACTTCGGGGAGTCCCTGCAAGTAGCACCCACCACGCCTACTGCCAAAGCTGCTCCTGCCCAGAGGTCAGGACCCCACCTCCCCATCCTGTACGACTCACCCTGTAGATCCCCACAGTTCACCCCATCCCTGAATCCTCCTTCCAGCAATAAGCCTTCTCCCCACACACTCTTCAGAGGAAACAGGGGCACCTAGTCCTGGAGTGGAGTCAGGGAGGGCCCGGTGCGGGGGATGCAGGGAAGCAGCATCGTCGGACTCACCTTCCATGAGGACACGGAGAACATCTCGCAGGGTGGGAGCTGTGGATCCAAGGGCACAGATGGAGAAGAGGAAGGTGCTGATGGGGTCAGCTGCTTTGTACTGAGGCTGCAGAGAAAGAAAGCCCTAAGGGCCTGGGAATCAGGAACCTTTCAGGGGAAGATCTAGGGGCACCTTGGACAAACAGGACCTGAGAGGGGAAAGGGACCATAACCCTGGGCTAGGGGTCCTATGGAGCTGGGAGGGGGAGTAGGGTGAGGATGGGGACCCAGGGAAGGCAGGGCTGGGGTGTAGAGAGGCAAGCGGAAGGTTGGGGCAGGCTTGCACACATGGTACCTTGAAGTAAATGAGGATGGAGGCAATCAGCACCCCAAGGCTCTGCAGGAGGTCTCCCAGCACGTGCACAAAGGCCGCCCGGACACTGGTGTTCCCCAGGGGCAAGGACTCCCCGGACCCCTCCTCCAGCGGTGCATACTCTGCCCCCCTAGACCCGTGGCTGTGGGGAGGCCCAGCCTGGTGCAGCACAAAAGCCATTCTGAGGGGGAAGCAGAGCAGCTCAGCCCAGGTGGCCTGCTCCCAGCCTCCTCCACCCACTTCCACGCCCTCCCAGGAGCCCTTTCTCCACCTGTTTTCTCCCTATTTCCCCAGTCCCCAGAAGAAAGCAACACTGTCCAAGAGAGACAAACAGAGCTGCCTGGAGGGAGGAATACTTGGTACTAGAGATGTAGATTCAGATCTTGGCCCTGCTACTGAAATTGCTACGTGCCCTGGGCAGGCAAGGCCCCTTGTCACCTCTCGTTATTTGTTTTGGCCACACCGCACAGCTTGCAGAATCTCAGCGCCCCGAACAGGTATCAAACCCCAGGCTCTTATCCATGAGAGCTGGAATCCTAACCATTTGACCATCTCTCATTAACTGAATGCCAGGGGTGACACCATCTACCTCGTAGGGGTGGTTGTGTGCTTTAAATGGGACAACATTGATGATGGTCCCCAGCAGAGGGGCCAGTACCCAGCAGGCCTTTAACCAAGTCTATTGACCCTGAATTTTAGGTCTCCACCCCAGCCCCTTCTCAGACATCCCCAAGGCAGCAAGGCAAGAATTGTGTGCATGTGCTGTGGGTCTGCTGGATGGAGAGAGCCTGCTCTCCCAGCCTGCAAAAGGACCCCTCGCCCCGCCTCCGACATGGTGCCTGCTCCATACTGGAACGTACAGCAGATTGGCACAGACCGCGATGCTGGCGGTCAGCAGCATGGCACCCCCCTCGATGTGGTAGTCGCTGTGCAGCAGGCGGATGAAGGCCAGGTACAGGAGGATGCCAGTGACCATCCAGAGGGAGACCACAGAGGCCAGAGCCCCCAGAGTCTCTGCAGGGGGAGACAAGCTGTCAGAGAACGGCCCAGGACCCTGAGAGGTACCTTCTGACCAGGTCAAGGGGTCCTCAGGCCATGCAGGCGCCTTACCTGAGCGGTGCCAGCCAAAGGTCATGGTGCGGGTGGCTGGACGGGTAGAGAGCCAGAGGGAGAAGAGGCTGCCCATCATGCTGCCCACGTCTGCCAACAGGTGGGCCGCGTCAGTCATAATGGCCAGGCTGTGCGCCAAGTACCCACCTGCAAGGGTGAAGTGACGTATCATCTGGTTCCATTAAGCAAATATCATGCTGTGCGTGTGGAGGCATGGAAAAGAGATTGGGGGGAACATATACCAAAATGTGAATGGTGGTTTTTCTCTGGTGATGGGATCACACATCTTCTTTTCACTCATTCGCCTTTTCTAGTTTTTCTACAATAACAGATTATTTTAAAACATTCAGCTGCACCAGGTCTTAGTGGCAGCACGCGGGATCTTCCATCTTTGTTGTGGCATGCGGGATCTTTAGCTGCAACATGTGGGCTCTGGTTCCCTGACAGGGACTGAGCCCAGGGCCCCTGCATTGGGAGCATGGCGTACTGGACCACCAAGGGAGTCCCAACAATAACATGTTTTAATAAGAAGAAAATAGGCTTTTTAAAGGACCCGTTTGTACTGATAAGCAGTCCTGAGTCCCCCTGGTACTGCCTGTCCCTCACCCTCTCCTACTTCCTGAGTCCTGGGCACCCGGCTCCCCTGTCCCAGCCAACCCCATCTTGTCTGCATCTCCCCCCAGGGACTTAGGCAGGCATCCTGAGGATGGAGTTGGAGGAGCTGCTCTCTAACTTACCAACCACCTCCCCAGCCATGAAGACACAGCACACAGCACAGGCGGTGCACAGCTGCCTCTGCGCCTGCATCCTCTCCGGGGTGAGACCCGGCTGTGGCAGCGGGTCCCGGTGGCAGTGCTGGAAGGACATCTCCGTGGGTTTGGGCTCCTCAGGGAGGGGCTCGGAGGCCTCTGTGAAGAGACTGAGGCAGGCAACGCAGTTCAATCTGGGGCCTGGCTCAAGGGCTCGCCTGCTCCTTCCTCACTCCTAGGTCCTGGGTCCCCTAGATTAGCTTCATCAGATGTCCCATCTCTCTCTCCTTTTCCAAGTCCTGGTCAAAACCAGGAGCCTTGTAGACAGAGGGTCACAGGAGAGATGGGGGCTAAACGGATGACTCAGATCACAGCCTCCGTTTTCCTTTCATATACAGAGCTGTAGAGCCTCACAGCACAAAGCAAAGCACCTTAAGAGTCTACCGCTTACTAAGGAATTACACGTACGAGGCTCGGAGAGGGAGGGAACTTATGGAGGCCACACAGCCAGTTAGTGGTTGAGCTGAGATTCGACTCCAACCAAATCAAGTCATTATGATAGGCATCACGAGGAATACAAATGAACTGGGTATCCTTTCTAATCTCTGGGAGCCTTTGGTGAACAAGACAAATGTCTACCTAAGTACTATGAGATGTTTTAGCTATTGCCTTAGAGCAGCTAAAACAAAGTGCTATCAGGGCTCAGATAGTGGGATATACTGACTCTAATGAGGACACCAGGGAAACAACCGAAGGAGGCCCCAAAAAGGGCGTGGGCAGATGGAGAGGCTTTTGACAAAGAGGAGGTGCATATGCCAGTGAAGGCAGTATGATGGGGAAGTGGTGTGAAAGTGCCGGGTGGGGCTCAGACCTGGCCTCCTTCTGGACCTACCTCCGGGTGCCTCCATTCCCGGTCCTTCCACTTCCCTTTCTAGACATGCAGCTGAATGTGGCCCTTTAAGAGAGGCGTAGAATGTGGGGACCCAAAAAGTCTGAAGTTCTTGGCACTGAGAATTACTGGCCAGATTCCAGAGCTGGGTTGTCATGGGGAGGAGACAGTGCAGACTGCTGCGGCCGGGGTGGCAGCAGCAAGAGCGCTGGGTTGGGAGTCTGTCATGCATTACCTGGACCTGTGGGACCATAAGCACCCCGCAGAGGCCGCCTTAACTGCACAGGACTGTAAGCCTCCCTGGATCCCTGAATGGGTCTGGGCGGGGGGGCCCTCACCTCCAGCATCACCTGGGGATGTGAGAGGCTGAGCTCAGACTGACTGAATTTTTGGTCCATTCTGGCCTAATTCTCAACCCTGATACCACCCAACCTAAAGTCCGGGGGGTGGGTGGGTGGGGATGGAGAATAGAACCTTCTACAGCATAAAGGACCTAAGTAGAAAAGTACAGTCCTGGGAATTCTATGGAGGTGTGACAAGAAAAACCTTGAGAGAAGATGAAGGCTCCAGATGACAGAAAGGCAATCCCGGTAGTAAAGTGGGGAGGGGTGCCTGGGGGTCTTCTGGTTGAGGAAAGCTCTGCCAATGGGTGAATTTAGGTGGGAGGGAGGAGAGGGCACATTTGGTGCTTCTAGGGAAAAGTGGAGGGCTGGCAGGTAGATTAACTTCTTGGAATCCCCTTCTAAGACTTAGAATCTAGATGGGTATGATACAGGTGTGTTTCCAGAGGAGACAGGAGATGAGGGTGGCTTTGAAATCTGTCCTCATTCTTCAACAAGATATACCGGGCAGTGTACATGTACTAAAGCTCAGGCTGGTGGGAGACATGTGTCACAAGTGACCTACTCTGCAAGGAGAAGCTGGGGCCAGAAGGGTTATGAACAAAGGACTTCAGAGCACGGGAAGGAGTGACCAGCTCTAATGGGAATATGGAGAACCTCACAGAGGTAAACAATGGGGCTCCAGACATGTGGAATGACAATGACAAGATATGCAGCTTGGAGCTTAAGTGTGAGGAACCAAGGGAAGGACTGAGGAGGAAAGTGATGGGCTCAAAGGGACATAAAGGGAGATGCGCTGATTGATTTGATCTTTCCTGAGCCATGAGATGAATGACCTTGCTGATGCACGAGTCTGGGAGGAAGAGAGAGGAGAGGAGATGGAGTGGTCCAGAGCAGACCAGGCCGGAGGCTCCCTGCGCAGAATTTTAGAGGAGGGGCAGGTAGGGAGGGAAGAACCTCTTTCAGAAAATACTGCAGGATTTGGTGACTAATGGTCATATGAGAATCAGGTGAAACTGGGAGTCAGAGATGCGGGTCTGAAGAGCAAACAGAGGGTGAGTGGCTTTGGGGCAGTGGGCAAGATGCCCTTCCTGGCCCAGGAAGACACAGTACAGCCAGGCATCAAGGTAGTCAGCCATCAACAGGCTGCTCCCTTTTGTTTGGCATTAACTGGGCACTAAAGACGCCTCATTGTTGGTGTGTGGGTGGTAATGGGGCTACCTGCTGTTTAGGGAGAAGGAAAGACAATTCTCTCTCCCTGGCCCTCTGAAACCCCAGACAAGCGACAAATAATATTGAGTGGGGTAGAGGGGACAGGTAGAGGGGGGATACTGTCTTGAAGCACAGTCAAAAGGGATGTGAAGACATGCTAGGGCCACGGCTGGAGCTCCCACAACTGCCGTCCTCCGTGGGAGGGATTCAGAAGGGGGTCTTCCCTCCCTTCTGCTCATCCACTCGCCCACCCATCCAGGTTTAAGGCCTCCACCCAGGGAAGGAGCGAGAAACACACAGAGGCACCGCATCAGAGACAAAGGGACATGGGTTGGGATGGAAAAGGAGAGATGAGGAAAGAGAAAAGGCCGGAGACTCTTGTCAAATTCCCGAGATAAACGGACGGTGGGCCAACAGACAAAAAGGCCGGCTGAGGTGACCAGGGAGGGCCCAGCGCGGCCGATCGGAGGGACAAGGCGGACGGAGCCGGCGGGACGCGGAGGCGGTTCTCCGGCCGCCCCCGGCCCGCTGTCCCGACTGCTCGGCGCGCCTCATTTCACACCTCGCCGCCCCCGGCCCCGTCTGTGCGGAGCCGGGAATACCCCCGCCGCCCAGACCGCACCTGCTCCTTCCTTACCGCCCCCTCGCTTCCCCGCGGCCGCCCGCCCCCCCAGGAGCCGGCAAGACCCGCTGCGGAGCCCGGGCCCATCCTCGGCCCGGGTGTCCACAGCAGGAGGCGGCTCCCCGAACCCGGGCGCTCGGAGGATAGGGCCGGGGGCCTGTATATGGGACTCCGAGGGGCTCCCACTGCAGGGCCCCCGGAGCAATGGGTACATCGGGGTTCCCGGAGCGGACTCCAGCCCGACGGAGGGGCAGTCGCTCGCGGGGAAGGTCGAGGGACTTGGGGGGACGGGCCTGGGAGCAGTTTCTCGGGACCGGGAGGAGGGTGGCCGACAGGATCCAGAGCGGGGTGTCCACCTGCGGGGGCCGGGGCTGGCTGTGCGAGCTGGGGGCGTCTGCGCGGCCAGAGAGGCAGAGCCCGGCCGCCACGAAGCCAAGGGGGTCGCGGTGCGCTGGGAAGGCCAGCCGGCCGAGAGAGACAACGAAATAGACGGAAAGCAGAAGGGTAGCGCCCCTCCTCGGCCGAGGGCCGACCCAGATCGGTCCTACCTCTTCAAACGCAGGCTGCCACCAGCGCCGCCGCGGTCTCGGGGGCCCACCAGGCGAGTGGTCTCCGAGCCCCCCGTGGTGGGAGACGGCTCCATTTCTCCGCGGCCCCCGACCGTCTAAGCCCCACTGAGGGAGGAAGAGGCGTGGCGGGCCCCGCGCCAAGTCTTAGCGGCGGGCCGACCCCCAGACTCCCTGCAGGGCCGCGGGGCCACCAGAGTGAAGGCAACTGCGGCGGCTGTGGCGCTGGGATTCCGAACTGCGGCTCCCGCGGCTGCCGGAGCCCCGCCCCGCGTGGGGCGAGCTCCCCAAGCCCCGCCTCCAGGCTCCCCAGCCTCTACCCCCACGCCTAAGCCCCGCCTCCGGGGCCCTGTCCCCATAGGCATGGCTCTATTTCCCGGCGCCAGAGCCAGGTGGGGCTGCGGGAGCGCTCTGCGCCCCGACCCTGTTCTAGAGAATGCTAATCTCCATAGCCCCGCCCCTAGGCTGACTAGTCCCGCCCTAGCCCCGCCCACCAGTCCTAAACAGAGCTCCTCAAGCTTGGGGGGCTTCCTTGATGGCTCAGATACTAAAGAATCTGCCTGTAAGGCGGGAGACCTGGGTTCGACCCCTTGGTTGGGAAGATTCCCCTGGAGGAGGGAACAGCTACCCACTTCAGTATTCTTGCCTGGAGAATCCCATGGACAGAGGAGCCAGGTAGGCTACAGTCCATGGGGTCACAAAGAGTCAGACACGACTGAGCAACTTTCACTTTCAAGTTTGGGGACCTCTCAACCAATCTTTGCCCAAGGAACACCGACTTGTGCAGGTCCACCACAGGGCATCTCAACCCCTCTCTCCACCATCCGTCACCTCGTGGCCCCAGCTCCCCACACACGGAGGCAGAAACAGGTGTGGAGGAGAGAACTAGAAGAAGGACGTGGGGTGAGCAGTATGGCAAATCGGGGAGAAGTCCAGGGACTCTGGCCAGACACCCCTCTGTGAAGCATGTGAGGTCAGAATTCGCGAGCAAAGTCTGCTGCCAAACACTGTACCGCTCATGGTTATTTTTATACAGAGACATGGGGTGACAAAAAGTTTCCAACTCTCCTTCAGTCAGTTATTATCCCTATTTTTTCAGATGAGTAAACTGAGTCCCAGAGGAAGAGGTGTCCAAAGTCATGCGACCAGTGAATAAAGGACCGGAACTGGAGCCCCATCCTCTCTCCCTCCCGGGTCAGGGTGTCGCATGGGCAACTGGACAGGGAGACTGGCCGCAGTTGTGTCGCTCAGAGGCTGGGGTAGCCGGAGGGAAGAGCGCGCCACCTCTCAGTGGTCACAAGCCCCAGGTTCATGGAGGCAGCGCTCAGCTTGCCAGCAGGTGGATTCCTTACTTCCAAAGCTATAGCACCTTCCCAGGCATTACCTCATTTTGCCTCATTTAAACTAAAGCCCAGGGGAAGGAGAGGCTTACAGCGAGTCGGTGGCTGAGCTGGGAGTTAAAACTTCAAATGCACAATGTTCCCTGCCCCTCACACCTGCCGCCAATGTGGAATGAAAAGGGGATGGTGATAGATTGTGCACTCCAAGCTGCGACGCTCTGTGAAGAGGAGGGTTCGTAGGAGGGGGGCAAAGAGTGAGCATGGATGCAGAAAGTGGAGGGTGGGAGTGGTTAGTTAGCCAAGGCAAGAAACCCATCAAACGCACCCTTCGGAATACACCGGACTTGTGAACACCCGTCAGAATGAATTTAGGGTTCTGCTGATAGACATCTAACCCCAACATTGTTTTTCCAGACAATGAGACTGCGTGTGCGCTTCCTAAAACAACAACAAAACTGGAGTACATGCCAGACTGAGTGGTTGGAAGAGATGGGGTTAACCCGGGAGAGCTTCGCGGAGGAGGTGAGGCTTGAACGGATTAGGCAAACTGGGCGGCGGGCTGGCTGTTCTGGCGGGGGAGACTGCGGCTCGTGCCAAGGTTTGCAGGCGGCGAGTGCCGAGGGATTGTACAGCGCTGGGAAGCGGTGCGGAACGGAAGCACTAAAGGGTCTGCGCGCGCCCTCGGCGCCGAGCCTCCACCCACGCCCTGCGCGGGGCCCGTGCCAGCCTCTCCACGCGCTCACCTCTCCCCAGCTCTCCGCGCGAGACCCAGCCCACAGTCCACACGCAGCAAGGGAGCGAGGGTGGGGTGGCTTTCTTCCCTCAATCTCTCCGAGAAGCATGGGGCCTCAGCTTCCTCTGTGGGTTATGGGGAGGCAAACTGAATCGGCGCGAGGGGAAGCCACCTGCCAAGGTCACCTTGTTCATCCGTGTTATAATCAGGGTGCAACTCATGTCCTCGCTCTGGTCCCCAGGCACGTCCCGTCTGGCGCCGTCGGGTTTTTTTTGTTGTTGTTGTTTGTTTGTTTGTTTGTTTTTGAAGCTCCGCACCGGGCCTGGGACCTGGCCAACTCTGAGACCCTTGGAGCGGGGACGCGGGGGCCACCACTTCCTCCAGGGCTCGGATGCAGTAGCCTCTCCCGGAGCGGCCGGCGCCGGCGAGCTGGAAAATGGGCAGACACCGCGGGATCCTGTGCGGGACAGGGGCCGCTAGGCACGCCTCACGACAACGGGGACGTGATAATAACAACAATGGCTTCCTCTGATTTCCTTTCCTGGGCAGCCCCTGCATGGCTCAGCCCCATGGACAGCAGCCCCGAGTGCCCGGGTGCCCGCAGACGCTGGCACGTGCTCACCCGCCACCCGGCAGGGAGCGAGAAGGCAGGAGGGAAAGGGACGTTGGAGCAGATGGATCACTGGGCTGCCCTTCCCCTCGGCTCCCTGGCCTTGGAACATGCTGCCTGGGGAAGCTGAGTGCAACGGGTTGGGAGAATACCAACAGTTTCTTTTGCTTGGAAATTTATGCAAGAAAAGCTTGGCTTTGAAACAGACAGCTTGCACCTGTTTCTCAAGAAACCATCAAGTGGCCCTGTGAAAATCTTTGCAAAGTGTCTTCTTGAATGCTAGGTCTGAGGAAGACATTCTGCACCTGGACAGGAGATGGGGAGATTGTGCAGGAGTTAGGACAGTTTAGGGCTGGTGCCCTATATGGAACACTTCATTCAACCTTCACTGAACATTAATTTCCTGCCATGAACCTTACTCTCCCACCTGGGGATTCCTGGTAAAAAAGATGAATGTGTTTTCTCCCCTCCTGGCTTTGACTTGATTTCTCTCTCTCTCTCTCTTTTTTTTTAGTTCTACCATTTTATTGCTACCAACCCATCTCCCTCCACCCTCGTGCACACATGCTCAGTCATGTAATCCCATGGACTTCAGCCCGCCAGGCTCCTCTGTCCATGGACTTTTCCAGGCAAGAATACTGGAGTGGGTTGCCATTTCCTTCTCCATGACTTGATTTCTTTTCTGCAGTTTTGGGTTACTGATTTACCCACTCTTGATGCTCTTACTTCTTCCTCAGATACTAATTTTCCCTAAGGTGTGTCCTTAGGCTATTCTTAGTCCCAGAGGAGATGAGGCAGGGAGCCCTGGAGGTTCTCAAAAGAACAGGTCTGTGCCAGCTTCCAGAGCACATGGTGACAGAGCAGATCAAAAGGGGGCTTCAGGGGACCTCAGGCTGGACCAGTTCACATTGGGAGAGAAGGAGAGCAAAGCCCAGTGCTGAGGTCAGCATGTAGGCTGAGCCAGAGATCTCGGGCAAGATTTGGAGTCCAAGCCTTTGGGCAAGGGTTAATATGTGAAAAGGCCAAGTCAAGCTGAAGGGTATATATAGAGGTGTTACCCCCAGAAAGCTTTTCCTAATCCCCCCACCCCCTGTCCCAGGTGGGTTACCTGCTCTTCCCTGGTGATCTCAAGGCCCCACTGTGCTTAGGTGCTGGGAGCACTCACCACATGATAACAAAATCATTTGTTTGTCTGTCTCTTCACTAGAGCATGAGCTCCCTGAAGATAGGTGTTGTCTTTCTCACCACTGTGTCCCCAGCTTGATACACAGTCCTCCGTAAAGCCATCCCAGAAAGGAAGAGCTGATTGTCAGAGGAAGCAGGATGGAGGAAGCAAGATTTAGTTGGAGATACAGAGGATGAAGGAAGACTGCAGCTTAAATGTCACCTCCTCAAAGAAGCCTTCCCTGATTCTCCCAAACCAGGCTAGTGCAGGTTATACATTCTCATTGCATACTTCTTTTTCTTCCTTTGCACTTATCATACCATAATTAAATTGTTATTCAGGGATTATTTATTTCTTCACTTGGCTTCTAGGATGCCATAATCTAGTTTTCCTCTTATTTCATTGACTGCTTATTTTCAGTCTTCTTTGCTGGTTCCTCCTCATCTTCCCAACCTTTTAATGTTGGAATAGTCCAGGACTTGGTCACCCCCTTCTCTTACCTTTCTACACTCTGCCCCATGGAGATATCATCCAGTCTACAAGTTCTAAAGACTGCCTGGAAACAGCAAGTAACGAAGCTGTTGAAGCTTGGGGATGGGTATATGGAGGATCATTGGACTATTCTGTTTTTATGTGTTTGAAACTTTCTATTAAAAACAAACTTGAAAAAATAAGTGGCATCTTACATGATGATTCCCAGATCTCTCTCTCACTTGATCTCTGATCTCATATACCCAGGTCAACTTGACTTCTCCTCTTTAATGTCTAAAAGCATCTCAAGATTCATCTAAAACCAAGCTCCTGATCGTCACCCCATCCCAAACGTTCCCTTCTAGCAGTCCTCCCTGGGCAGAACATGGGAACTCCATCCTTCCACTTGCACAGACCAGAAACCTTAGAATCATCCTTGACTTCTCTATTTTTACTCCACATCCAATCTGCCAGCAAATCCTGCTCCCATCCTTGTCCAAACCACCATTGTCTGACTTCTTGATTATTGCAGTAGCCACCTAGTTGTCTTCCTTTTTTCTGCTTTTGTTGCCCTGTCGTCTAGCCTCAATCCAGGCTAGGCAACTAGATCTATTTCCTCACTCTCCATCTCACTCAGTATCAGCCAAAGGGCTTCCACTGGCCCACAAAGCCCTATGCAGTCCAGTCCCTCTGATCTCATTTCATACTATTCCCACCTCAATCCCCAGCCACTCTGGCCTTTGTGCAGGTGGGTCCTACAACACACCAGATGTCTTCATCTACACTCTGCCAGATGTCTTCATGACTCACCTGAGGACCTACTTCAGGTCCTGACTTAAATATCACTTTTACAGGCTTTCTCTGCTTTTCTTTTTAAAAATTGTATTCTTCCCTCAAAAATTTTCCATCTCCATCCCCTGCTTTATGTTTCTCTATAGTGATGATTACCACCCAACATCCTGAATATTTTACTTGTTTACTGTCTATCTCCTCTCACCAGAATTTAAGCTACATGATGTCAGAAATTTTTGTCTGTTTTGTATACTGCTATATCCCCAGTACCTAGAAGAGTATGTGGCACCTGATAGCACCTAATAAATATTTGATGAAGATATTAATGAATGTCTATCTTCCACAATAAGCTATAATCTATGAAAACTGATTATCATTGTATCTAAGGTACTAGGCATAGAGTAATGCTATATAGGTATTTGTTGAGTAAGTGAACTGATTAATTAAAAGGACAGTTCATGAGGAGAACTGGTGTGAGGGCAATGGTATAGAGGATAGAAAGAACAGGGAGGGAGAAAAGACTGATGGTTACAGAAGGTTTAAGGCAATAGCACACAATGCGTTTGGATGGGCAACTTGGTAGCAAATCGTAGAGTTAATTGCCATAATTTATAGACTTCTTTTGTTGTTGTTGTTGTTTCTTTTTTTTTATTATTTTGCTTAGAAGAGTTCTTTATTCCTAATCAAAGAAGTTGACACCTGCTCATGTTCACTGCTATCCTTCCTTAGTGGGGAAGAACTCTGCCAGTGAATGTAACTTGGACAGCAATTTTAAAATGAAAATGATTTGATTCCTTAGAGGGGCAACAGGATGCATGCTTATGTACAGTGATAGCTTGGTAGGAAGAGTGGGGCAATATGAGAGGTGAAGGAGAAATCTGACAATATCTTCAATTCTCTAAATTGGTGCTAGATTAAATGAAACAAGTCATTGTGCAAGCTGTTACCAACTGCCTTTGGAAATTTGGCCCATTTTATTCCAGGTACTGAAAATACAGATGCTACCAAGTGATTCTTACGTTCTTGTGGGGGAAAAAACCTGACTTTTCTTTGATTTTTAAAAGTTCAGTATTGATCTTTCTAAAATGTACTGAAGCTTTTAAAAAGGATTATGGTAAACATTCACATAACTGCTTTATTTGAATGTTAGTATGTACATTCTAAAAATGTTGGGTACTGATTATCCAGTGTATCAATGAATTAGCATTAAATGAAAATTCAGAGCTGTGGATATTACTTGGTCTTTGGTAACTCACAGGGCCCACTCTTCACTCACCTTCCCTTTATTGCCCCCATGTCTCATTGGCTTCTGAGTTAGTCTCTGCTTTCTAATAATTGTCTTAGAACAGTTTTACATATATAGGTTGGTTTCATTTTACCCTTTGTTTCCTGCTGCAGTATTGCAGCCATCCTGGCATATAGACTTCTGTATTTATTTATTTGGCTGCACTAGGTCTTAGTTGCAGTACAAAGAATCTTCGATCTTCATTGGGGCATGCAAGACCTTTTAGTTGTGGCAGGTAGAATCTAGTTTCCTGACCAGGCCCCTGCATTGGGAGCTCAGGGCCCTAGTCAATGGACCGACCACCAGGGAAGTTCCCATTGTCATATTTAAAGGGTTGTTTTCCACCCTGTAGGCTATGAACAAAGGAGTAGTAATGACGGAGGCACTGCTTTACAAACAAAGATCTGGTAGCAGTATATATCATGAGACTGGCAGTAGCAAGAACAGTTAGGAGGCTAGAACAGCAGTTAGTGTGACATGGAAACCCTCTAACTGAGGTGCATCAAGGTTGTGGAAGCTGAAAAGAAGAAAAAAATTAGAGAGCAATTTTGACAAAAGAAATTATTAAGAACTGGGCTTCCCGGATGGCTCAGCGGTAAAGAATCTACCTGCCAATGCAGGAGACTTGATCCCTAGTTTGGAAAGATCCAACATGCTGCGGAGCAACTAAGCCCGTGGGCCACAGCTACTGAGCCTGTGCTTTAGAGCCTGGAAGCCACAACTCCTGAGCCCCTATACCACAACTACTGAAGCTCGAGGGCCCTAGAGCCAGGGCTCTGCAACAAGAGAAGCCTCTCCAACGAGAAGCACTCACACTGCAACTAGAGAGCAGCCCTGCTCACTGTAACTAGAGAAAAGCCTACACAGCAACGAAGACCCAGCACAGCCAAAAATAAATAAATAAAAATTTTAAAACAAACAAAGAGAAAAAAGAAATGAGTAAGAATTTTTGGCCTGAATTTGGGGAAATAATGGTCCACAGCCCACTGATGTTTGGGTTTTGAGCAGCATTATCTTGGAAAGAGTCGTAACATTACTGCAAATGGAGAAAGCAAGAGCAACAACCAATCTGGGGGCAAGGTCATGAGCTCAGGTTGCAGAGTGTGGTTTTGAGGCAATGGAAAACTGGTGTGTGGATGGCTCTAAGGTGAGCTAAAACAGAGCAGTACCAGCTAAAGCCACACCCATAGACTGCATCTCTGAAGTAGAGGAAAGAGCAGAAGCAGGAGCTTAAGGACCAAACCATACAGAATACCCACAATCAGGACATGAAGGGAGAGGAGCCAGCAAAGGCGACAGGAAACTTACTGGAGATGGAGGAGGAGACTCAGAACAACTCGAGTTGAAACAACCCCAGAGTTGAAAAGACATGAAATTGGTAGAGTTGAACAGAAAGAAGTGATTTAAGGCCCAAAGTCACCTCCCCAAATATAGCCTGATATTTTTCACTTCATTCAGTCACACTGACTGAAACTCTGCCAGTTATTCCTTTTGTGTTCATCAGAATTAAGGAGGTGAGGTTCTAATAGTTGCTCTCACTGTATCCTGAATTACAGGGTTTTAATCAAATTGCTTCCCACCTAACCCTTCGGGATGAGATCATTTTAGGGAGGTGATCGGTTTTATTAGAAACATTTAAAGGAGAGGAAGTGAGAGGGGTAATTTTGGAGTTTTGACTGCTTGGGGAATACTGTGACACTGTGTGGGATATTTTGGATAGCCAGAGGGCAATGGGTAGAGGAATGAGAAAATAGAGTTCTGAGAGGCTGAGAAAGAATGTAGAAAGGGAATGGAAGGATCCCAATGGCAATTTCCAAATCTTCTCAGAAGGAGGATCTTGATTTACCCCTTATTCCCAGAGACAGAATGAAAAGCAATTTCTCTCTTTACAAAATTGGGAGAAGACAGAATAGAAAGTACGACAATGATGATGACGACGATGATATAGCACTTACCACGTGCCAAGCATTGTTCAAATTAAATGTTTAATCTTCCTAACAACCCTAAGAGGCAGACTATTATCTCCATTTTACAGGTAAGGCAGGTGTGCCCTGTTAGTGTGAAAGTGAAAGTGTTAGTCACTCAGTCATCCAACTCTTTGCAACTCCATGGACTGTAGCCCACCAGGCTCCTCTGTCTATGTGCCCTGTTAGCCTGCCCTTATGTCTGCAGAGTCTGGGGCTGCAGGGCAGAGAGCATAGGGGTATAAGGCAGCTTCTCCAGTTGGAAGCCCTCCACCTCCCACCATGAGATGTTGGGAGGATGGGAGATGGCCCTGGGGAAGACCAGCAAACAAACTGGGCCAAAGGTGTTTTCAGTCACATGTAGTACATATGCCTTCAACTGGGGGGAGTGAAAGCAGTTCGCTTTAACACCATCATGAAAGCAAGTGAGTATCAACTACAACTTTGCTCCGTTTCTACACCTAGATTTTAAAGTGGGGAGGGAGCTGGTGTGTATAAAGAGCCGACATGGTATACCACTGAACTTGGAGTCAGAAGACAGGTCTAGAACTCACAGATTGACCTTGTACAGGTTAATCCTCTCTGGGCCACACTTCTCTCATTAAAAAATCAAGGCATTGGTTAAGAGTTAAGTCTCTGAGGTCCCTTCCAGCTCAAAATTTGTACAATTCTAGAACCTGGGAATTGGGTATGACAAATTACGATCTCTCTCTCCCACCACATATGTTCAAGAGCATGATATTTTGGGTATAAATATGCCAATGTGTGCTGTCTGTATGTGTATATTCCAGCTATATGACTAAAACTTCAGTTGTTTGTGGGTAAATAAGGGATGCTTCTTGGTTTTCTCCAGGAAAGACCACATGGCTCTATGAGGTAGTAAATTTCTGAGATCATTGACTCAAGATATGGTGGGAGGGCAAATGATTTCAAAACAATTTGAGTCTGTCATCATCCTTTAGCAGTTATTTAAATTGTTTCCATTACTTTGACAACCAAATTTAACTTAGTCTTGATCTCAACCCTGTGAAACAGAAGAGGGAAGAGACTCAGAGATTGAGTGACTTGTCCAAAATCACACAGCCTTTTAGAGCCAGAGCCAAAACGAAGACCTAGGGCTTCAGACTCCTGTCTTAAGTGTTCTTCCTAGTTCTGTGCTGGGTGTTAGAGGAGACCCCGTGCATAGAAAAGAGAGTCGAAAGGGCTCTGTTTCTAGGGGAGGGCCCCTGGCCAGAGAGTGCCAGACCAGCCTGACTGCTCTGTTCCCATCTCTGCAGCCTGATGGCTGCCGTGTCATCTCCTTGAGAGCAGAGGGCTTAAAGATAATGGCTATTTCAAGAGCCACAAACTATGATTAGAATTAATTAGAATGTCAGAGGGCAGTGATAAGAAGTAATAACATTCTGCAGCCTCTGACAAGATGTGAAAGATGTTTACTAACTCTTTTCTGAACCCAATTTATCCTCTTTCTCAGGCTCGCTTTATAAAGCAGGGATGTGATCACACCACCTCCCAGGGTTATGAGGATCAAAGGAGACAATAAGGTAAAAGTGCTTTTGAAAAGATACACAAGTGTGTTTGTTCATTCAATTTAACCAACATTTACTGAGCATCTACAATATTCCAGAAGCTATGTTAAGAACTGGAGGAAAACTAAGACAAACAAGAAACAAGGAGCCCAGAATTGCCATTACTCTCTCTCCTAATGCTTCTGTCTCTTTACCCCTCATGTGTCTGTCTTGTTGTCTCAGGCTGTATGAGGAAAGGCTGACTCTGAGTCCTGTCCAATTCTCCAGCTAAGCATTTCTGTCCCAGGGAATTCTTGCTATGGCCCAAACTCTGGACCTCCATTGGACCAGCAGAGGGCTCCCTCTGCTATTGCTCATTCAGCAAATCATTCATTCACTTATTATGAGCAGGCATGGTTCCAGGTGTTGGGGACACAATGGTGAACAAATGGACAAGGTCCTGCCCTCATGGAGTTCACTGTCTACTGGTGAAGGCAGACCTTAAACAAATAAATATATACTCACAAATTATGGTGAGGGTATTTTGAGATGGGGAGAGAGAAGTGGAACTCAATTTAGAAGGACTCTCCAAGGAGGCATGAAGCTGAGAGCCACAAAGGATGAGAAGTCAGCCATGCACGTAGCCTGGGGAGGAGTCCTCCACGCAGAGGAGGGGGAAGGGACACAGTGTCTTCAAAGAACTGACAGAAAAGTGGTGCAGTGGAGACCTGATCAAGCAAGACAGGGTACTCATGGAGCTGGAGGGAGAGGCAGGGGCCAGACCACACTGGGCCTGTAGACAGAGAAGGAGTTTGAGTAAGTACAGTGAACTTCCAGTGCCTTCTGCTTTCTTCCCAGTGCTGGTGAAGAAACGACTCGGGCTGTTCTACTAGTTCTGTCATCCCACGACGGTGACAAAAAGCTGGAGGTTAGTTAGAGAAGAAACCATCAAAAAATTGCCAACTTTATCAATGTTATGTGCCAGCCTGGATGGGAGGGGGACTTGGGGGAGGATGGATACACTTACATGTATGGTTGAGTCCCTCTGTTGTTCTCCTGAAACTACCACAACACTGTTAGTCAGGTATACCCCAATACAAAATGTTTTTAGTGTTAAAAAAATTTAAATAAAAAAAATTAACAGTAATAAAATAGAACAATATATTGAAACAATATACTATAGTAAAAAAAAAAAAATTGTCAACTTTAGCTCCTTTACTTTGGGTGACTAACCTCTAATCTCATCTAACCCAGAACGTATGAACTGGTGCGTGATACCAAAGGTGCCAAAGGTGCCAAAGGTGCCGAAGGTGCCGGGAGCCAACACACGAGATTCTACCCATGACAAGGTCACAAGGAGAAAGCCTGACAGGCAAGGCAGATCAGGTTTTCAGGGATTTCGAAAAGCTGCCCCCCGGTGCTCACCTTAAAGATTATATCTGTTTTTCTGATGCTTGCTTCAATAGACTACTCCCTAATTTCTGTGACACAGGCAGAAGGCCTTCCCCGATCTCTTCCCAAATAAGAATCAATTTAGAACTTTAATCAATAAGTTTCCCGGAGGGATGGGGTGGAGAGGGAGGTGGGAGGGGGAACCGGGATGGGGAATACATGTAAATCCATGGCTAATTCATTTCAATGTATGACAAAAACCACTGCAATGTTGTAAAGTAATTAGCCTCCAACTAATAAAAATAAATGGAAAAAAAAAATAAGTTTCCCAGGTGGTGGTATTTTATGAGATTATCCAGGGTGAAAGGAGTGTTTTAATTTAAACTCCTTTGCTGGTATTTTAGTTTGTTTGGCAAATGCGTCTATGCCCTTGGTACTAATATGCATGACTGCTTATAATACCCTAATCACAAAACAGCATAAAGAACCTGATCATATAAAGGCCCTAATGGACATAGAGCCCTTCGGGGAGTGAGGAAGCCCTATTAGGAAACACAAGAAAAATTATTCTAAAAGTGGCTATTGGGTTAACATTTGCTTGCTGTGTTTTTGCTCTTGATGTGCTAAGGTTGTGTTATAGAAACCATTGTTAATATAGATCTAGAAAAATAAGAGCTTAGCCCTAGTGTGGTAACAATGAGATGGTTGTTAATTGTCAGCCAGGAGTGCTAGGCAGGGGCTGCCTCACCAAAGTCACAGAGTCAATGTGGGGTAAACTTCTTAGATAAACGTAACTGACAACTTCTGCAGAAGGATTAATTTTTATATTAACAAGGTTATACTTCTACTCTGTACTATTGCCCTATGAGACCTTTCAGTTAAGGTCACCATAGAAACGGAAAATAGGTTTACATTCACCTGACCTGCATAAAATGTTAATGGGCCCCAACGCCAGAAGATAATGTACAAGACCCTCATAAACAAAGAATTATGCAGAAAACACCCTGGTTTCGTGAAGAACAAGCTGATGTAATGTTAAACTATCTTCCCCTTAGAGATGTACTAACTTAGGTTATAAAAGCCACGGTAAAAAATAAAGCATTGCCAGACCCTGCCAGACTCTGCTGCACCCCTCATCTGGTCACTCTCTATCTCTCTCTCTTTCTTTCTCTCTCCCTCACAGACTTGGCCCTATCAAGGCTGGTCTCATGTGCCTTCTCTCTCTCTCTCTCGTCGATGCTGTTCATCCTGAGGGTACCCCCTGGATCCTGCCGAGGCTGGACCCCAGCACAAAGGTTTTTATCCCCACCCCTACACTGATCACAGATGTACAGAAATAAATTAATCTAGTGGTCATTGTGCATGTTGAACATGGACTCTTTAATTTGCTCAGATGACTCACATCTTTGGCGTGCAACTGAATCCACGTGTAACCAGCACAATGACCACTGGATTAATATCTGTAGAAGAGGCGGTAAATGTGCATAAATAACAGTAATAAAAGCCAAAAGACAGGTAACAGAGATAGTACTGAAACAATAAAGTTCTCTCAATTACACATTACAGGTACCATTGGGTGTTCCTTAGTTATGAAAACCAATATCATGAAGTAGTAAACTACAGGTATGCAAGCCTGTCAGAGATTACAGGAAGTGAGGCCAAGCACCCATAGGTGCCCTCATGCCCTGCATGTGGCATGTAAATTAGTTAGGGAGATAAACTGGTACTTTTGGTAACCTTCTGGAAAGAAAGTTAGTGATACGGATCAAAAGTCCCCCAAAAAATTCGCTTTGACCCAATAATTCCACTTCCAGAAATCTACACTAAAGAAAAAAAAGATTTTCTTAAAGATTAAAGATAAGAATTTTCATAAGGTCATTATACTATTAATATCAAGATTAGAAACAATCATCCAGTCTGGATTATGTAATTATATTATGATACATCCTCCTAATGTAATAGCATTTAAATGAAGTTTCTGAAGAACAGGCATGATTTTGGAAATGTCCAAGACATCATTTTAAAGGAAGATGCAAGGTAAATTACAATACGATAGGATAAATGCTTTCATAGAGGAAGGTGGGAACAATTGAGGGAATGAAGGAAAGCTTCTTAGGAATACTGACATTTGATGTAGGTCTTAAAACATGTGTAGGAGTTTCCCGTGGACTGGAAAAGAAAAAGGACCAAGTGGCGACCTCTAAATTCTGTGAAAGAAGATTAAGAAGGCAATACACCTCTTGAGAAAGGTTCGCAGCAACCACACAGCTCATACAGCCACCGTCTGCAAGCCCTGTTATCTTTCCTTAAGTGAGTCGATGAGTCATGTTCCCGATCAGGATGAATGATTCCCCCTCCCACGGGAGAAGGGACGCCCCTGGAGGCTGCACCCGCGGGTGGGGCAGAAACTGACACCCCGCAGCCTTTGACCGCGGGCACCGGGCAGATCCCTGCGCTCAGGCTTCCGCGAGCGAAATAAGTCCCACCCCAGCCCCCACCAAGACCTACCCGCAGCACCAAAAAGTGACCCGTAGTGTTGACGCAGTGCGCAGGCTCAGTCGGCCACTGGACCGCTGCCGTGTGAAGTTTCACACGTTCATGGAGGTTGCGTGAGGCCTCCCGGCTGAATAGAGGGACTATGAGGTAGATGCCAGGCCGGATGAGGGGTCCACACAGAGCCAGAGGGGACCTGAGGAACCAGAGCCTTCCCTTCTGAGCTGTCGCCTTCGTTTTCCCAGACCACGGTCTCCCAGGCTCTCTCCCACTCTCTGGGGTCCTGCTTCCTGCTACCTCTCTGGTCAGCCCCAACAGCTCCCGGTTTTCACTTCTTCCTTCATCCCTTGAGTCATCTCCCTGTTCTCCCTGAGGGACAGGGGTGGGATGGTTTGAGAGGGGAGGATAGGAGGTAGAAAGTGTCTGGCCTAGGTGCAGGCACTGCCTTCCGCCCTGGTTTCTAGATGCCTGGCTTCTCTTAGGCAGCTCATGGTTTGGTCTGACTTGTTCTTCCCTTGGGGACTGTGGATCACCAGGGTTCCCCACCCAGCCTGTTCCGAGACTGGGATCCTGCTGGGCTTTCAGACCCAACAAGGACTTGGACAGGCTCAGGACTCCTCCTGTACAGTCCTTGTAGCTCTGGACAAAATGGATCTTTTTGCAGGGTTTAGACCTCCTCTTACTTCACCTGTGTAGAATGTGGGGTGTCTGGAGCTCTGTGTATCTGATGGACACTGGGGAAGCTGAGGAGAAGACGTTTCCTCTGTAAAATTTGAATTCAAATGTCTTGTCACCTGCGCTTTCCTGCTAGTCACAGGTGCCACTGGCCGTTGTCTGATATTTGTCCCATGGTAGCCACTTTCCTGCCTCGCCTCTGAAGGTGATGAGTTTCCTGTCACTGGAAGTTAACTTCTCTATGGCCCCCACCCCTGGAGGTTTTCACAAACGCTTCCCCTCCTTCCACCCAGATCATGGCTCATGTGGACGAGGCCGCCCGCCGGTTGTCCAAATCTGGGTCAACCCTCTATGCAGTGCTGGAGCTTAAGAAGGGTGCCTCACCTGAAGACGTCAAGAAGGCCTACAGGTTCAGACATCAGCCCTTTATTAAATCTCACAATTCTCCCGTTTAAGCCCTTTTCCTCCTACCTTGCTTTCTGACCCTTTTTTAAAAAAATAGTTATTTATTTGGCTGCATCAGGTCTTTGTTGTGGCATGTAGGATCTTTCATTGTGGCGTGCAGGCTCTAGAAGGCACTGGCTTAGTTGCCCTGTGCCATGTGGGATCTTAGTTCCCTGACCAGGGATCAAACCCACATCCTCTGCATTGGAAAGCAGATTCTTAACCACTAGATCACCAGGGAAGTCCCCTGACCCAATTTTTAAACCCCCAAACCTCCACTTTGGGGCCAGATGGGGCCATCATCCTCTTTCGTGTGAAGGAATATAGACTTGGGCTGCTTGCTTCCATCCTTTCATGCATTCTTTCTTCACCCTCTAGAGACTTATCCCTGTCATTCATTGTAACCCTCCCACCCCCACCACTGCCATCCTCTGCCCACCCTTCTTTTGGGTATTGCCTGGCTAGGAGACTGGCCTTGAAGTATCATCCAGACAAGAATCCAGGGGACGCTCAAGCAGCAGAAATCTTCAAGGAGATCAACACAGCCCACTCCGTACTGAGTGACCCTAAGAAGCGGAAAATTTATGACCGGCATGGCTCATTGGGAATATATATATACGATCACTTTGGCGAAGAAGGAGTCACATACTATTTTACGATGAATAGTTGTTGGTTCAAGGTACACAATTCCTTCTGGTCCCTTAAAAATAAGGAAGGAGGGGCACCCCTCCACTCTTAGGATGGCTGATTCGCCTCTCCTAGAACAAATGCTTCTATTGTCTCATATACTGGGTGCTGGAAGAATTGAGGCGGGGTGGAACTTGAATGGAAATACACAGGAACTGCTGGATTGAAGCCATTCTTCCCCACCTTGTAGACGCTTATCCTCCTGTGTGCTCTGCTCACCTGTTGCTGTTGCTGCTGCTGCTGCTGCTTTTGCTGTGGAACACTTAAGCCACCACCTGAGGAAGCAACTAACAAAAAATATACGTCAAATGTCCAGCATCAGCCTCCAAGGTCAGGTGAGAACCACAGGCAGGGACTGGGGTGAGAGCTGAATTAGGGTTGTGGGTGAAACCCTGAACTCTCAACTGTGAACCCCCAACTCTCAAGTCAGGATTGGGGCCAAGTGAAGAAAGAGAAGAGGGTACACTTAGTTTCTGAGGGACTTGTGGCAAAAACTGACAGTTTAAATGTAATGTTCGCTTTCCATGACTGTTAAGCTTAATGAATGGGGTAAGCATTAAGGTAAGGAATGGGGTGGGAAACTGTGCCTAGAAAAGGCAATAGTTGAAGACAAGTTAGAGGATGCAGTTCTTTGCATTTACTTGAGAGAGAGGTAGTGTCTGAGATTATCCACTGAGGCGCGGGTTGACTGAAATTCACACCAGTGCCATCTAGTGACAGGAATACATAACTGCAAGGTAACCCTTTTCTCACCAGTGGACTAAAAAATGGGTTTCCCGGGTGGCTCAGTGGTAAAGAATCTGCCTGCTAAGGCAGGAGACTCAGGTTGATCCCTGGGTCAGGAAGATCCCCTGGAGAAGGAAATGGCAACCCACTACAGTATTCTTGCCTGGGTAATCTCAAGGGCAGAGGAACCTGGTGGGCTACAGTACATGGGGTCACAAAAGAGTCAGACATAACTTAGCAACTACACAACAGACTAAAAAATTGTTACTAGATGTTGACATATGTGTTTTTCAATCCATCATAGGACGCAGAGAACATTTTAGAAGAGAGGAAGATGGTTCTAGTGATGATAATTAGTAAAAGATGAAGAAGAGTGAGGTATGAAAACTGAAATGCAGGAATAATTAAAGGGTAAGAAAAATACACACTAAAAACAATTCAGCTGAGTCTTTAATGGAAAGTTGTATCTTTTTTTTTTTTAAAAAAAAAAGAAAGTTGTATCTTTATAGTGTGGACTACAGGTATTGTATCCTTACCTGTAGGGGGTTTGCTTTAAATTCTGCATGATCATTCCTTCTAGTTAATAAGATGCCATCTTCTTCTGCCCTTAGATGCTGACCCAATGAGGGTGCCTTCTGCTGCCCAGTCCACTAGACTCAGTGAAGAGAGGAGCAAGTAGCCCTGTCCTAACACTGACCCTGATTTGCCCCTTCTATGTGTAAGACTCCCGTCTTCAGACACATTGATGGCCTCCATCCCAGTGAGGACGCCATCTTTGTCCTTGATGCTGTCGCTGACCCTGGCCATACAGGGTCATCTAGCTGTTCTTTTTAGCTCTAGTCCCAGTTTTAACCTGTTAGAAAGCAGCCCTCCTAACCAACCCTTGTGAGGTCTTAGGCAGGGGTGACAGTCTTTTCCTGAACATTGTTTTTCCTGTGCCTTCCTTGGAAAATGAGCCAGTGTCAGCGGTAGTGTCAGCCACTGATGAAACTTCCATCAGGATCCTGAAAACCAAGCAGGATGGATCCTGTCCTGGAGCTGCTGTATCAGTGACCCGCTTTTGTTGCAACTCTGTGTGCCAGGAACTCTTCGTTCAGCCTTATTCCCAAGCAAGTACACCTTTCTGGGGGCTGGTCTCATCTTCTTTTGGTGCCCATGCCCTTGGCATTGCCAGCCTCATCCGGTACCACCATGAGACAACTCAGGAAGAGCATAAGTGCATTTGAGGCTTAGAGGTTGCTGTTCCACCTTTCAATTCTCCCTGGACTGCAGCTGCTAGCACAGCATCCATGAGCATGGGGCCTGTGGGTTGACCGAAGTTCACACAGCAGTGCCTGCCGGCTTCCATCCTTCTGGTCTCATGTTGTACAAGCTGATCACTATATGTTTTGCACTTAAAATAGGGGCATGAAAAATTCGCAGGGTCAGAACCTAGTAACTCCTCAAACTTCTCTCTCCTGACTGGGAGAAGGGCTAAGGAATGTCAGTGAATAAAAGAGCCTTTTTTAATCCAATCCCAGTGCATATGTTGGGCCCCAAAAAGAAAAATCATGCCTGGGATAGAGAAGAAGAAGGAGAAAAAGGTAGAGGACCAGTGGGCATATCTGAGACCAGCCTGCATCAGGGAGCCAGAGATCAGGACGTGTGTGGAGCTGGGGGCAGAGGCTTCCCAGAGCCTTGTGATGATGACTTTGTCAATGCTCTAAATTTCCCCTGGAGACCGATTCCCTCGGTGCCCAAAATAGGTCCCTGGCATCCAGGTCCTTTCTGCCCAACTCAGCTTCTCTAGATTTCCTAACAAATTAAGAGATGTCCTTGGCGTGGCTCCAGTGATGTGTTGAGGGACCAGAATCCTGTTTTCTCAGGGATACGCTCATGAGGTCGTTTCAGGCCCTGGCGCACCTGTCAGCTCCAGCCTCCTGGGCTTCTTTCCCTAGGACAGGGGGATATAAGAAAGATCTGGGCAAGAACAAAGAAGAGCCTCTCTGTCATCTCTGGTGCCCTTGTTTTGAATCATAGGATTCAGAAGAAGACGGTCAAAGTCACTGACTAAGCCTTGGAGGCAAAAACTTTCATTGTCTCTATCTATAGGTCCAGCAGGATCTCTCCTTTCACCCAGGCCATGTATGGTGCCTGTCACACGGGCCAGTTCAGATTCTGTGTCACTACCTGGAAGAGGCACCCAGGCCCAAGCATTGGGGTCGGGGGCTCACAGGAGCCCTCTGAGTGAGAGCACCTCTGTTGCCCACCTCAGCTTCCACCACAGGAGTGAAGTTCACCCCACTCTCACTCTGGGGAGTCACCCGTTCCCGAATGAGTCAGGGTCACTCACTCGGTGACAGCTGTGGCTCGCCTTACAGGAGCTAAATTGGGAGTTGGAATGTCACACACACATGCTCCTTGTTCCCCACCCCCACGTTAAAAGCTAATCTCCTCTCTGGGGAGTGAGAGACAAACAGCACTGCCCACAGAGTGGACAAGAGGGGTTTGGGAAACAAAAGGAGAAATTTCCAGGGACAGAGCCATTCAGGGAGAGAGGAAGATAAAAAGCTACATGTGCCTGGCCAAGGTACAGAGCAGAAACTAAGCGAGGCAAAGTGTCTGAAAACAGCTATCTAAGGACAAGGCAAATTGTTTTGAGGAAGGGACAGGAGACATAGCAGAGCTGTTTCAGGAGTGAGCAACAGAAGGGAACGCAAAGAGTCGGAAGACTGTCGAAAGTACACGAGGAAGGGTCCAGAGGCAGTGAGAGAAGGCCAAGACCAGGGCCAAGGCCAGGGTAGGCACAATCGCTGAGGGGATGAACTTCACGGTGGGTTTCAAGCCGCTGCTAGGGGATGCACACAGCATGGACAACCTGGAGAAGCAGCTTATTTGCCCCATCTGCCTGGAGATGTTCTCCAAACCGGTGGTGATCCTACCCTGCCAGCACAACCTGTGCCGCAAGTGCGCCAACGATGTCTTCCAGGTGGGCCGGGGCAGGGCCGGGCCGGGGCAGGGCAGGCTGGTGAGAGGCTTCTTTGTCAGGTCAGCGCCGAGCACCCAGAAGGTGATGGGAGGAAGGCGCTACGAGGTGGCTGGTGGTGGCTGTCCTGGCTGAAGGGCAGAAGGAGAGCCAGGGGTCCTAGCAGATCCCAAAGTAAGCATGAGTCAGCAGCTGCTCTGCAGGCTGGCGAGCATACAGCCTATGCATGGACAGCCCTGGGATGCTGGTCTCTACAGAGAAAAGGAGACCCGCATGGAAACTGGACAGGGAAGTGATCCTGTAACGAGGCTGTGTGACAGTCTGTGCCAGACTCTGCATTCCAACTTGGAGTTGAGATTTCAAGAACAATGTGGAAAATCTGGAGAAAATAGCAATGAGATAATGAAACATTAAAAAATGAGAAAGGTCCATGATGACAGTGAAATTATTTGTATTTAAAGCCAAAGACCGAGTGCATCCATCTTGGGGGGGTGGGCAGGCAAAGTTAGACAGTGGACAGAACACTGGGAATTCTCCCCCACTAAAGGTGACACTTGTGTCCCTCCCCAGATTGATGAGTCAAGAGACCTGCTGGTTAAAAGGGATCGAGGTCACTTAAGCAGGGAGAAGGCAGAGAATACATTTTACTTCCCCCAAATGGAACCAATTTTGGCTTGTGTGTGGTCACGGAGCAAAGCATAGCTAATCAAATTCACAGATCTCATTTTAGCTCCTGGTTTCAGAACTAAAAGCAGCACGTATGAGAACGGTTTATATAAATGGACTTTCTTTCTTGCCCCATGCCCTGGTGTAGGTTCTAGTAATCTCTAAAATGGAACAAAGATCAGGGAGAGTGAGGGATAAAGGCACACACACACACACAAACACACGTGTCCTTACCAATGAAGTAAAAGCTCAGAATAGACCAGAGCTGGCTGACTTAGTAGGCATGGCAGCGATAAGGAACATCATGAGCACGCAGTCTTCATCTGTATCAGAAATTATGAGGAAACGTGTTGAACACAGTGATTTTTAACTTAACCAAGAGAATGGTCCCCTTTTAAGTTCTTTGGGGGCAGCATGTTTGGGGGAAAATAATTGGCTGGCTGATTCAGGTCATTCTACAGCTGTGCCCACAACGTACCCTTTGTTGTCTGCTGTCTTCCCTGAGCTCAATGGTCTCTCCTGCCATCTTCCCATCGAGGCCTTTTGCCATCTCCTATTCCTCTAAGTCTCCAAACTGGTCATTATTTGGCTCCAGAGAACCTCAGGCCAGTGGTTTTCCCTCTCTGGGGTCTGATCATCCCGGGCATTCAGTCATGTACAACCCACCATCTTGGGTTTTTCCTTGGTCTGATTAACTCTGAACATCCTTCAGGCTAAGATGCCAAGGAGGGAATGACAGAAGGTTTTGCCATCCCGTCTCATGAATTTGTAGTTAAACATTCTTTCATTAGAGCCTGAAATATGTGAAAGCAAACTTTTGAAAGTGAAGGTAACATGTTCTGTAAAAAAAAAGAGTGGTCAGAATATTAAAGTGCATGGCACACAGTATCACTGGGCAGAGGGACGCAGGGAGGGTCCTATATATGGAGACTAGAAGATGTTCATCCCTGAGTCGGGAAGATCCCCTGGAAGAGGGCATGGCAACCCACTCCAGTATTCTTGCCTGGAAAATCCCATGGACAGAGGAGCCTGGCGGGCTATAGTCCACAGGGTTGCAAGAGTCAGACATGACTTAGCAACTAAACCACCCCCAGAAGATGTTCCAAGTCAGTCTTCTGTATCCAGACACACTGTTTTGGTTCCTTGAAGGTCTGGAATATTGATCTGAGCCCAGAGAGACTTGGGAATTGTTTGGGTCGAACCCTGTGAAGAATATTTGGGAGATAACATGATTCCCAGGGCTTCGGGATGGTTCTGTGGATCTGGACTAATGTGTATCTTTTGAAGTACAGGGCACCCCTAGCCCTCCAAAGAGAGAAGAGTGAAGCAGGTCATTTCCTTGCTGCTTTATTTGGGATGGCCTGGTGGGAGGCTGACCCAGTTTTTTTGGCTGCACTTATGTATATACATCTCAGCAGACCTCCCTCTGAAAGATGAGCATATTTAGTTTTTTCACACATTGCCTCCACATTTTGACAACTCTAGGCATAATCAGATACTGTTTTCTAAGTATGGGGACGAGAATAGGACTTCTATATCTTGAAACTACTTAGGAAGAACACACTTAGAACATTGCCTAGAAAGTTAATAGGACTTAGAAAAGTGATACCAGTATATTACACACCCACACACATATTTTTTTCAAACACTATAAGAATTTATATTATGAAAAGTGAATCTTCACCTTCGGCCCTCTCTAATTCCCTTCTCCAGATGGAAGTAGCCATTACCAACTTTCTTGGGTACCCTTGCAGAAATGTTCCACGGTTAGGTACACATTTGTGTGTGTGTGTGTGTGTGTGTGTGTGTGTGTGTATGCACATATTTAAGCTAAATTTATCCTATATCTGCCTTGGTTTACTCTCTTGGCTGTTGTTCCATAGCCACACATTCCAATACGCATCTTCCTTTTTAATGGCTATATAGTGGTCCATTGTTATGACTGAGTCACAGTCTATTTTACCCATACTCTGAAACATTTAGATGATGCTCCGTGTTTTGCTGTCCTAAAAAGCTACTGTGATGGACAACAAAAAAGAATTTGGGAGGAGAAACTTCTCTGGTGGTCCAGTGGCTAAGACTCTGCACTCCCAATGCAAGGGGTCTGCATTTGATCCCTGGTCAGGGAACAAGATCCCACATGCCCCAACTAAGACCCAGCACAACCAAATAATTTTTAAAATACTAAAAAAATAATTTTGAGGGATTGTGACCTTAAAACATCAGGTTATAAGAACTGACTCATTTGAAAAGACCCCGAAGCTGGGCAAGATTGAAGGCGGAAAGAGACGGGGATGACAGAGGATGAGATGGTTGGATAGCATCACCGACTCAATGGACATGAGTTTGAGTCAACTCCAGAAGTTGGTGCTGGACAGGGAGGCCTGGCATGCTGCAGTCCATGGGGTCACAAAGAGTCAGATGCAACTGAGCGACTGAACTGAACATCAGGTTAACAAAAGAGTCAGGAAACAAAATTTTAAATATTAAAATATTTCTTTGAGGTAATTACTTGCCAGTCCAGTGGTTAGGACTCCACTCTTTCACTATTGAGGGCCTGGATTCAATCCCTGGTTGGGGAAGTAAGATCCCATGGCGGGACCAAAAAAAAAATTTTTTTCATTGAAAATGTTGAACAGTATTAAAGGTTTGGGAGGAAATTATCCATAATCCCACCTTCCCCAATGCAATTGTTTTCATGTTTGCATATTATGCTTGTCTCTATACATATTTTTACATAGTTGCCATCACAATTTAACTCATTTTCTTTAGAGCTGTGATACAGTTCTCTTTCTCTCTCCCTCTCTCTCTGAATTTAAACAGAATAAAACACCAAAACACCACATTAACCCCCTTTAATTTCTCTCTTTCTCTTTCCCCACACTTGCACCCACTCAGCTACCAAGCATTTTGGCTAGGGGAAAGCTGTCGGTGTGGGAATTTGACACAAACATCTTCCCATGTGTTTCTGAATTTGTAAACTCTATTCCTTCCTAAACTGCTTTAAAACAGCCTGTGGTTTATTTTTATACCTGCCCCCGCTTCACTGTGGGCACTTGTTTATGAGCTGCAACCTGTTGTAATTTAACAGACAACCAGAAGGCCTTGTGAGAAGGTTGTTCAGAAACAGCTTTTCTGGAGGGTGTCCATTTAGGGAGAGAGTTACAGAGATGGGGATAGCAAGAAAGGGGCCTCCTTCTGTCATAAAGGGCAAACTGGGAAAGAAATGACCTCTTTTATATCATCCCAAATTCAAGTTCCTTTTTCCTTTCTTTTCATTTTTCTTTTTCTTTTTTTTTAGTATTTAGGTTGCTTTGGGTCTTAGTTGTAGCCTGTGAGATCTTTCATTGTGGTGCACAGGCTCCCCAGTAGTGGTGTGCAGGCTCAGTGGTGTGGTCTGCAGGGCTTAATTGCTCTATGGCATGTGGGATCTTAGTTCCCCGACCAGGGATCAAACCCTTGATCCCTGCATTGCAAGGCGGATTCTTAACCACTGGACCACCAGGGAAGTCCCCCAAATTCCAGTTCTTTACAGTCTAATTGTTAGGGCTACTGTCATCAAGTACAGGCCAGCTAGTGAAAACCCTACACAGCCTTCCTCTTCAGCCACTTCCACCTGCTGCTGAGGGCCCTGAGATGTCCCCTCCCCAGCCCAGACTTGGGCAGGTCTTTTTTACGGGAAACTGGTTGATTGAAATTTTATGAACTATGTTAATCTTGTAGCAGGCTTAGGATCTTATTTGGGGGAAGAAACTGGATTTACTGGGAAATAAAATCATAAACCGAGACTCAGCATTCCCAGGCTCTAGTCCTACCAGTTTCTTCCTTAATTGGCCATGACTGTAAAGCAGGTTGTTTCACCTCTTCAAGCCTATTTACACACACATGGATAAAGAGGAGCTTTAAATTGCTTGTAATTCTCACAATCCAATTTCACAAATTGAAGAAACATCATCATGTATTTCCATTCTTTCCGGACTTTGCACTCAGTTACTAGTGTCCTATCTTGGCTCACTCTTTGTTGTTGTTGTTGTTTTGTTTCTTGTTTTTCCTGGCTGCACCATTGGCACGTGGGATCTAAGTTCCCTGGCCAGGGGTCAAACCCACTCTCCCTGTATTGGCAGCATGGCGTCTTAACTGCTGGACCGAGTAGGGAAGTCCGATGGCTCACTCTCCTGCTTACCAGGCCTCTTCTGAGCCAGCCTCCTTTCACAAATCCCTGTGTAACGCTCACTGCTAGGCTCTGCTGGGCAGAGTAAGCCCGCCCATCAAAACCCCTTCCCCACCCACAACTCAGCTTTTGCTGACAATGCCTGGATTCTTCTAAAGGTTTTCAG